AAAAAATTAATACCAAGTGTTGGTAAGGAAGGAAAGGGTGTTTTGTACACTATTGACTATAGTGGAGCCAAAAATGTAGAGGGCAGTCTGGGAAATGAGAAGGAGATTTCTTTTTCAAGAGTAGATGGAATGGATTGTTTGAGTAATAATTTGCACGTAAATATTTATTGATTGAATAAAAGATGTTCTATATTATACATATAGGGATTTTTATTTTAAAACATATAAAGAAGCTATATAAATCCTCATTGCTTCAAGAAAGGCTTGATATTTAAGGGCTTTCATAGTTCTAGTTACATAGTTAAAGGTATAATTTAGTTATTGTATACTATGTATATTATATATGTTATATATATTCTATATATATTGAATAATCTCATTTATTGGTAATTAAATATTTGCAATTAATTACTTTGAAATTTAGGTGTTATGGAGTTGATATGTACACTTTAACTATTCACATTCATTTTCATTTATTGACTCGAGAATTTTTTGAGTTTCCACTATAATACGTATTTGGTATATACAAGTTACAAGGGGAAAAAATGCTGCAAAGCAAATAATTACAATAGAGTGTCACTTTTTCTGCGCTTTGTTATATAATGTGTGGTGTGAAAATGGAGATGGTCTTTAAGTGAAGAAAGGTTAATTGAAAATGAAAGAAATGTTGGGAAAACTTGGATTTGGGGGAAAAGGGAACTTATTAATTTAATAAAAGTAGGAAAAGTTATTTATGTGAACACTTGATGATTATACACTTATGAATGGATGTTACGATGTTATAATTTTTTAAAAAGTAATTCTTTTCCACAAATCTGACATTTGGTGAATAATTTGAAATTACCCAAATCTGAAAATTAATGTTTGAATCCTCTGATATAATTGAAATGGTATAGCATTAATACTAACAAATATTATAATCCTAATAAATACAACTTGTAAAGAATTCCACAGTATTCCAACATAATTGCATTAAGCTTATTTAGTATCATGAGGGTTTTTTTCCTTTTTTTTTTTCTTATGTTTTCTGTTTTATTCTAGATGGTCCCCGGCCATCACAAAAGGAAATTATATCACTACGGGCATTTATGCTACTTTTTCTGAAACAGCTCATACTAAAGGTAAAATAATTTTACATTATTTAGAACTGCAATATATTAGATGAAGAGGAATTTTTGGCATTGTTTAAAATCAATATTGTAAAATTAGCAGTAACTATTTTCAATTTATGAATAGCTTTCAAAATCCTAAAGTAAATCTTAGTGTTAACTTTTGTTAAACTTGACTTTTTGTTAATCCTCTTTGAGATCATCCATTTTAAGAGGTATATGAACTGTGAACAAGGAACATATGCATAAGATAGGAGTATAAAGTTTTATTCCAGAAAATGGTCTGTGTACCTGTATGAGAAGACTTACATTATGTATTTTATCACAGTAGGATTTTTAAAAGATTAAGATAAAGAAAAATGTAAAATAAAGGTAAAATATACATCAATTGGTTCTATAAAGTTTTGCATTATTTTAAGAAAAGAATAAATGGTTAGAAAATAATATGAATACAGTTAGATCAAAATATACTAACTTTTGATAGTGATGGTCAGTCAAATATTAGCCTTAAAAGACTAGATACAGTTTTCCAAATATTTACTTACTTAAGTGGAAATAATATAGTCTATGAATTATGAAATATTTAAAGATTTTAATGAAAACATCACTACTTTTAAGTTGTTCTTATTTTTTTTAAATGATCATTTGATGCCTGTCTTTAAAGTTTTAGATTTAAATAATATATATATTTTTAAAATTAGGATCGAGGGGTCAAGGAAGATGAACTTCAGAGTATCTTAAATTACCTACTTACCATGCATGAGGTAAGACATGGTCTGTGTCTTCTATTTTAATTATTTTATGCAAAGTACTAGAATAAAATATTAACTAAAGAAATTTTTTTTTTGATGATCCTCTTTATGCAGGATGAAAATATTCATGATGTGTTACAGTTACTAGTGGCTTTAATGTCAGAACACCCAGCCTCAATGATACCAGCATTTGATCAAAGAAATGGAATAAGGTATGATTATAATATTAGTATTACTAGTAGACTTTAATTGAATACAGTTGTGCTTTCTAGAGTAACTCCTACTCTAGGAACTTTTGAATAAATACAGCAAAATCTTACATGCAAGAAGGGAATAAATGGAGAAAGCTAGTATTAATCTTCTAATACTCCAACTGATGAACTATTTAAAGAATGGGTCTTGGTCTCAAGAAGAGTAATTAAATTGTGATGCTGTAGTAAAGATATTTCAGTTAGTGTGAAGAACAAATATATATATATATATTTTTTTTTTTGCAGGAAGACAAGAAACATGGTATATTTCAGCAAAAGAGAGCACAGGAAAATTGTATGAATTTAGGCTCAAGAACTAGATAGTGGCCAGATTTGGAAGATACTGGCCACATAATAGAAAGAGGTTTAGATTTTTTTCTGTTTATGATGAAATAAAGTATTTTGAATAGGGTACTGATTTGCTCAGATTTCCATTTTGTTAGATTTACAGTCAGCAGTGTGGAAAATGAACTGGAGAGGGATAAAACTGATGTAGCAAAATAAGTAGAGAGATTATTTTATTCATCAGTATTAGGGGATGATGAGTTAGGACAGTGACAACGTAGTTGGAGCAAGGGGACAAAACCAAAAGAGTTTGAAGACTAAGTTTAGTTAGAATGATTTTAAGTAATTATGTAGGTAAGTGAAAAATAGTTCCTTGATTAGTATTCTTATGAACTTCAGCCTATAATCTAGCCCCTTAGGGATTCTCCTTTTTAATTTTTCTGAAGTCTGAATTATTGGATGAAGAGGAAATCTAAGTTATGCCATGTGCAACTCAGTGAACTTCCACAGGTTGTAAAAGAATTTGGAAATAATATACCTACAAAAGGATTTTATTAGTGCTTCTTTTACTTGGCCATTTATATCAACAAATGACAGTTTTCTAGATTTGAAGGACTTCTTTCCAAATCAGAGAAGCAATCACATCATTTCTGTTGGATGTTCTGTTTGAGTTATCACTGTGATCTTTGAGTTTACAAGCCATGGAATTGCTACTCTGTTTGAAGAAGAGGATTACACATTTAATTATTAAGAACTATAAATATTTTCTATGAGGTTGAACTATATGAAATTGCTGATACTTAACTGTTTACTAAATAACGGCATATTTGGTTCAACCTAATCATATAATACAGTTATACTTATTCTTAACATATATTTAGATTGAAAAATTAGTATCCTTGACCTTAGATCCTAGTATCTCTTTTATTTATTATATCAACTGATAAGTGAATCAGTTAAAATTGTCCTCATCATCCTTGTGAATGATACCAACCTTAGATTGGTTAATATGAAATTCAGACACAAAATTCTTTATTACTTTGACAGAGTGAAAATACGATCTTACAAAGGAGAATGATATTTGGTTAGGTCTTTAGGGGACTGAAATAGTGATTTATATGTATAGTATGAGTGGAATGATTAGACATAATGAATACCAAGGCCTGGTTGCTCATGATTGAAACCTGCTAAACATGTCCTATTGTTACCAGTGTGTTCAAAACAGTGACAAAGATGGAAGGTTTTCTCCTTCAGTTTCTCCGTTTCAAAAAAAATGTGGTGAATGTAGGCTTTGAATAAAGATATGGAAAAAATAGGCTTATTAGATAGAACACTTAAAGGTCTGTATCTTAGAAAGAGAGATACTCAAGGATAGCAGTTATATATAAAATATTTTCTTGGGAAAATGCTGATAAATTGTAATTTATATACACTAACAACTGAACACAAAGAATGAACTTAATTCTGGTGACATTTTAACTGGCTTTAAGAAAGACTATGTGATAATACAACATTGAACTGAGCAGCTAAAAATGTGATATTTTTATATCTGAAAATCTTACAAAAAAGAATACATAAGTACTTGTCTCAACGAATTTAGATCATTTGCTGGCTTAATATAGTAAGCTCGAGCAGATTAATTAGGATTCACCTATCTTATGATATTTCAGGTAAACAGTCATTAGCTGATACGTCAGTAAATTTCTTAGGCTGTGAGCTTTTACTTTGGTTCTCAAGATTATTTTTACTGTTGAATGTTCTTTCTCATGATTTCCTGAACAGTTCTTTTTCTTACGTGTATAACTTTCCTATTCTCATACTTTTTTTTTTTTAATTACTGATCATGGTTCATAAAAGTTCTGAAGATAGATTTCAATGTAAATACATATTTAGGAATGTGAGGCTTTTGAAAAAAATCATCTTCTAAAGGAAATAGTAACTCTAATGTTTATCTCAGTCTGTTCTTCAGTAGAGTAACTCACAAATAAAAAGCAATATCAACAATATATTATTTTCTTTTTTAGTAGTATAAGCCACTGTTAAAACAGATGTGACTAGCTTTAAGTAATTTGTTCCCTTTTGTTAATGTCACTGAAACGATATAAAAATTATACTGCACCTACTAATACCAACTTTTTGTTTAGCCTCAATTACTTCATCTTGAAGCATAAAATGACACTTTATTTTTTAAAAAGACGTAATACAATAAAGCACATCCTAATTTTATAGTCACCACTACCACCTTCAAAGAACTTTCTTAAATTCTAGAATTAGTTGCAAAAGAATATAGTTATTATTGTTCCCTACTACCTTATAGAAAAAATATTTACTTTTATGTTTTGGAATAAACACAAGATAAAAATTTTTAAATATTTATGAAGATTATAATGGATATAGCCCTGTTCTTCTATCATATTCAAATGACTGTATATATTAGGTTGGGTTATATGTTAGTAGAGACTTCTTTGCTCCAAGTAATAGAAAACTTCTCAAACCAATAAGTAAAACAGAATAATGTGTTTGTTATAGAAATCTCATTAAGGTAAGAACAAGGAATTGGAAAGCTATAAGGAAACAGCTTTGCTTTCTCTGCTACTTCCTATATGGTCGCTTTATTCTTTTGTGTGTAGACTCGTCTCTGTGAACAAAACAAGGCTGCCTTATAGTTTCTGTTTTAAATAATTTTCTAATTCAAGAGCCCAAAAAGTACTAGATACTGTTTCTCAGATCTCACTCCAAATGCTCAGAAAAGAGAAATAATTGGGCAAGTATCTATCCATGGTCCAATTAGCTATAAACAAGAAAAAAAGGTCATCAAGAAGAAATGTTAGGGGCAGTTCTAACAGAAGGGGAAATACAGCCTAACTAAGCATGTATCTTAAATTAGAATTTTTTTTTCAATATGCTAGAAGGCAATACTTATGAGCAACAAATCACTTGGAACTTTTGAGTATTTATTTGAAGGCCAAGTTTAAAGAAATATTAGTAAAATGTGCTAATTTTTAATTTTTCCAAAGAATTTAAAATCCTGAAAGGTACTTTGTATTTTTTATATTTATAATTCATTGTAAAGTATATAGTGCTTATATTTTTAATATTTGTAAGTGCTTAAAATGTTATTTATTTCTGCATTTTTTTTAGAGTAATCTACAAATTATTGGCTTCTAAAAGTGAAAGTATTTGGGTTCAAGCTCTGAAAGTTCTGGGATACTTTCTGAAGCATTTAGGTCACAAGTAAGTTGATGTTTTTCATAAGGAATTGTGGAAATACCTATTGAAATTATATTTTTAGTAGTTTCATATCTAATGGAACATGAAATTTGACTTGAATAATCTTATAGCAGAAAATAATAGCTTCCTGTTGTAAAAGTTGTAAAACTGTTTTATAAAAGAATGTTTATTAATAGTAGATTATAGAACAAATTCACAATTTAAGTAATATAGTTTATTTTTGTTTGCTGAAAGAAAATACTGTTCATTTTAAAGATGTAAGAAAATATTTCATCAAATAAAACAAAACACTTAAGGATATGATTTTAGTGAAAAGTTTCCTGACAGGGAATACCATGTATATGAGAGTTGCTCTTTTGCTTACATGCTAAGTCAGTATTTTATTATTTGTATTTTTTTTCTAACATTGAGGCTTATTGATTATTTTTGTGATTTAAATATCCTGGAATATTTCTTTTTTCCCTAAAGTCCAGAATTTAGATACTTTTAAATGTCACTTGCTGATATAATGAATGTTTTTCATATTATGTTGCCCGGTGCAAAATTATTCTTTTTAAAATTCATTTTCTATACAAATGAGCCCAAGAAAGTATCATTTAATTATTGATAGATGGGGTTCCTCTCAAAACCTCACTGTTGCCATTTCTTTTTGGTGCTTAAATTTACGAAGAGTTTATTGATAACACTGATATGAAAACTACAGAAGATCCAGATAAGACATCTCTAACATGCTAAATAGTTTGAAAGACTAGATTGCTTTTTATTTTGGTACCAAATCAATAGTCAAGTAAAGGAGAATAGACATATTACAAATATAGGAAATAGTTCAACAAAGCCTGGATTGTAGGAAAGAATTATGAATATATGAGGAACTGTAAATGTACTAGTTAGTTGAATGCTGAGAGTGAAAGCACATGTACTTTTAATATTAAGAGAGAAGGACTATTAATGTAACTGGTTAAGTAAAAGAAATTGACTAGGAGAAATTAAAGAAAGGATTCTAGCCCTAGATGCAACCTCTTAAAAATTGTTTAGAAAACACATTTAAAAATATAGCAATGTGGAAAAGATAAGCAAAACTAACCTGCAGATAAGAACACGTACTGGAAAAATACTGTTATAGAGTACATAATAATTGTGATTAGAAATTTTACTGTAAGTTTAAAAAGTAAGGAATGAATTGCTCTGAGGAAGGATTACTACAAAGCAGAATTTCAAGAAGTTGGAAGACATGGTAGGATAACACAGAAGTGTTGGATCATGGACTAACAAAACTTTGGAGGAAAGTTTCTATTTTTGTTGAAGAAAAAAAAATTTATACAAATAAAAATGAAATCAGAGGAAGCCTAAAGGAAGATAAATTGTGTGGTTGGCATGGTAAGATACACAGAAGATAAAAATGAAAAGAAAGCAAATAATATGTATGGATGGAAATATAAGAGTTTAGAAGGATCAAAGAGAAAATGATTGATATAGAAAGCACAGAAATTCCAGCAATGGTGTAAATTGAGTTCCCAAATAAGAAAAGCAGAACAATGGAACTAAACAAATATTTAAAGCTATAATTCAGTGAAGTCCTAATGTAAGATTTTGCCATCCATATTAAAAAGTCAGGCTGTGTGCCAGGAAGAATTTTCCTAGAATGGTCAGCACAAAAGTAAACTATTGGATTTAAATTAAGTCAAGAATCGTTTTTCAGCAGTGTGCAAACGGGGGGAAATTTGAGTTGGGCTTTAGACTTTTCTACAGTGTTTTTCAATAAAGAAAACATAGAGCAACACCCATAGGATATTGAAGTAAAGAAAATGGGAGCCAAAGTATCGTTTAACTAAAAAGGATGCTGCCAAACAATTTTTAACCATACAAGGACTTGTTTTTCTGAATAATTATTGAGAAAATTTCTGGGGACAAAGTTCAGCTAATCAGGATGATGACACACTATAGCTAAGTACTACTGGTGAACACTGAATGAATTTAACAGTGAAACTAGCCTAAAACAAATGTTTGAATTAGAGTGACAGACCAGAATTTACTTTTATAGGCCCTATTAATGCAGAAATGCTACAGTTATAACAAATTGGGAAAGGACTGAGGAAAGACAGAAAGTAGAGTAAATCCGAAGAGTCAAAGGTTATCCATAAGAAGCTTACAAATGAAATATTAGAAACACAGGCTTACTGACTAAAATTAGATGACAAAGGAGAGATGAAAAATTAAGAGTAAATATATTGAATTTATCATTGCTCATAATGGGGAAATACACTTTCTAAACACATAGAGGCCTTCTTATTCCTTTACAGTTAAAGAGATAAGAAATTTGGCGAAATTATAATGCTTTCAAGATATTAAAGAACTGTATAAAAAAACTGAGAATAATATGTGTAATGGAATCTTTAAAAACCTATTAAATATGACATATCTAACACCAAACATCTGCCATAAAAATAAATGTAAAAGTTTTTGTATTTTAAGGAAAAAAAAGTTCATCACAGTAATAAAATGCAGATCTATAAGCAAGAAACATACTAAAATAAAGTGATTTAGAAAGGCTGAAAATTAAAGGATACCTAAAGGTTATACCACATATATACAAATGAAAAAAGCAGGAATCATGATCTTAGCATTGGACAAATTAGAAGTCAAGCCAGAAAGCAATAAATAACATAAAGAAGGACACACAATGTTAAAGGGTGAAACTTTCATGAAAAGGAAATTATAGGAGAAATAATACAATTACCATTAGTTTAAAACATTAAAATGATTTTTATTTCACCTATCTTGGTTCATAAAAAATCAAGGAGTAAAGTAACATAAATAACAAGGTAAATCTGTTTAATATAGTTTGAAGTCTATATCATGTTAATAAAGAAAATAACTTCACTGCCATGGAAAATTTATGAAAATTTGACACGACATAGCAGACATCAAAGAAAAATTCTAAAACATAAAAACAAAACAGATAAGGTTGTCTTATTAACATACAGTAAAAGAAAATAGGAACAAAATCTGAAACCAAAATTTCTTCTACCTAGAAATTTAAAATTTATTGAACAACTTTTGTGTCAAAGAGAAGATGCACACAAAATGCAGAATTTTTTTCAGGATTTTATTTTATTTTATTTTTCATCATGGTAAGTGTACTCTTTAATCCCATCCCCTATTTTCCCCATCCCCCTCACCCACCTCCCCTCTGATAATCATCAGTTTATTTTCTATAGTTTAGAGTCTTGGTTTGTCTCTCTTTTTTTTCCTTCGCTTGTTTGTTTTGTTTCTTAAATTCCACATATGAATGAGATCATATGGTATTTGTCTTTCTCTGATTTATTTTGCTTTGCATTATACTCTCTAGCTCTATCCATGTTATTGCAAATAACAAGATTTCATTTTTTATGGACAAATAATATTCCATTGTGTATATATACCACATCTTCTTTATCCATTCATCTATCAGTGGACACTGGGCTGCTTCCATAGTTTGGCTATTGTAAATAATGCTGCAGTAAACATAGGGATGCATGTATTCCTTTTTGTATTTTTGGGGTAAATACCCAGCAGTACAATTCCTGGATCATAGTACTGTTCTGTTTTTAATTTTTTGAGCAAATTCCATGCTGTTTTCCACTGTGGCTGCACCAGTTTGCAATCCCATCAATAGTGCAAGAGGGTTCCTTTTTCTCCACATTCTCACCAACACTTGTTTCTTGTGTTTTTGATTTTAGCTATTCTGACAGGTATGAGATGATACCTCATTGTAGTTTTGATTTGCATTTCCCTGATAATGAGTGATATTGAATATCTTTTCAAGTGTGTGTTGGCCATCTGTATGTCTTCTTTAGAGAAATGTCTGTGCATGTCTTCTGCCCTTTTTTTTTTCTTCTGCCCATTTTTAATTGGATTATCTGTTCCTTAGGTTGAGTTATATCAGTTCTTTATATATTTTGGATATTAACCCTTTATCGGATATGTCATTTGTAAATATCTTCTCCCATTCTGTGGGTTGCCTTTTAGTTTTGTTGATTGTTTCCTTCGCTGGGCAGAAACTTTTATTTTGCTGTAGTCCCAATAGTTTATTTTTGCTTTTATTTCCCTTGCCTCAGGAGACATATCTAGGAACTTGTTGCTATGGCTGATGTCAGAGAGATTATTACATGTCTCTCTTGTAGCAATTTCATGGTTTCAGGTCTCACATTTAGGTCTTTAATCAATTTCGACTTTGTTTTTGTGTATGATGAAAGAAAGTGGTCCAGTTTCATTGTTTTGCATGTGGCTTTCCAGTTTTTCTAACACCATTAGTTGAAAAAGCTGTCAATTTCCCACTGTATATATTCAGTCCTCCTTTGTTGATTACAAAATCAATGTAAAGAAATTTGTTGTATTCCTATACACTAAGAATGAAGCAGCAAAAAGTGAAATTAAGAAAGCAATCCCATTTACAGTTGTACCAAAACAATAAAATATCTAGGAATAAAACTTAACTGAAGAGGTGAAAGACCTGTACTCCAAAAACTATAAAACACTGATGAAAGAAATTCAAGAATATGCAAAGAAATGGGAAGGCATTCCATACTCATGAGTTGGAAAAGCAATATTGTTAAAATGTATCACTCAAAGCAATCTACAGATTTAATGCAATCCCTATCAAAATACCAAAAGCATTTTTCACAGAACTAGAACAAGTAATCCTAAAACTTGTATGGAACCACAAAAGATCAGACCCCAAATGGACAAAGCAGTCTTGAAAAAAAAAAAAAAAAAACAAAACTGGAAATATTACAATTCCAGATTTCAAATTATATTACAAGGTGGTAGTAATTAAAACAGTATGGTACTGGCATGAAAATAGATACATAGATCAATAGAATACAATGGAAAACCCAGAAATAAGCCCACAATTATATGGACAAACTGCAGAATATTTAAAAAAAAACAACTTCAAGAAAACCTATGAGATACAGGTGACGAAGTGCTTATGGGAATATCCATAGTTATAGAGCAATAAAAAG